TTCAACGCATAATATATCAAAATGAAGATAGGAAAGTGTAGAACAAGATTATACCTATTTGGAAACTCAATGGTTGCCGGAGATGGTCGAAAAATAGCTTGAAAGGTGACTGGTCCGTTGGAAAACTGGAAAACTCGCCAGAAACTAGGTAAATTTTAAACATTCATAACTTCTTCAATACTCAATGAAATCAAGTGATTCAAAAACGAAAATCACCTTCTCTGATAAAGTCCCTTGAATAAATGCATTTTGAACATCCAACTATCGAACATGCCACTTAAACTGAAGAGACATGCTAAAGTTAAAACAACAGTAAATAATGGCTAAATAGTCAAAATGGTCTCTAAGATTTACATAATCAATAAAAATGGTCTCTGAGATTGAAAATCAATAGAAATGGTCCCTGAGATTGTCCACTATCCATGATTTTGGTCCTTCTGTTGAAAACTCTTTGGGCAATTTTCAAAGCTTCGTAACTCAATCGTTTCTTAACTAAATTCGACACATAATATATCAAATGAAGATAGGAAAGTGTAGAACAAGATTATACCTATTTGGAAGCCCAATGGTTGTCGGAGATGGTCAGAAAATAGCTTCAAAGGTGACTGGTCCGCTGGAAAACTGGAAAACTCGCCGGAAACTGGGTAAATTTTAAACGTCAATACTCAACGAAATCAAGTGATTCAAAAACGAAAATCATACTTCTCGACGAGACGAAAATAATGGTACCTTTCTGGTTTGTCCGGAAAATGGCTCGAAAGTGGCTAACCATTTTCGGGTTAGAATGTGGGCCTGGCTATAGCGTGTGGGCTCAATGGAAGCGTTTGTTGAATCAAGTGTAGCAGAATGGGTAGACTTGGAATTAGGCTTAAGAGAACCTGTCTTTGACCTTGTCACCATAAAGAGGGATGAAGGAACTGATGAGAAGATAAGGTCGCAACAGTGGGAGGAGGCGGCAAAGTGGCTGGTGATGTAATATTGAGTGGTGGTACATGTAGTGCACCAAGCCCAAATATGCCAATTAATTAATGAAGCATATAATATATGTAATAGTTATAACTAAGAATATGATGTATGATCCACAATAGTGGTGAAGATACTGGGGTAAGAAATAAGTGGCATTTCTGTTAGCAGTCCCACGTCGGTGGGGGTAAAGAAAGGTAATGACTTTAAATAGGATTACCTTACTTTAACTATTACCGATGCTTTTTGTGGTAAAATTTCACACCTGACAGATTGGGCAGGTGGTAAAGTTGGGGACAATATCAGTGTCATTAAAGTGGTCCCCTAGGCCCGTCGATCTAAAAAAATTCCAACATGGTATCAGAGTCCACGGTTACGGGCCCATGCAAGCCAACGGGCTTGTCACTAGGAAGTGTGGGTTTGGAAACAAGCTTGGACTCTTAACATAGAGTCGGCCTCTCAGTTCTTAAGAGTCACTTCCTAAAAAAGATTGAAAACAAGTTTGGACTCCATTGGAGCCAACCTTTGAGTTTCAATTGCCGATGTGTGGATCTCTACTTATGAACCACTAAATGAGAGTCACTTCCTAAAAGAGATTGGAAAGAAGTTTTGGATTCCATTAGAGTCGACCTCTGAGTTTCAATTGTTGATGTGTGGATCTCCACGTGTGAACCACTGAATGAGGTTACAAGTGAGGGGGCATGTTAGTAGTCCTACATCGGTGGGAGTAAAGAAAAGCAATGACTTTAAATATGATTACCCCACTCTAACTAATACGAGGCTTTTTGTGGTAAAACTCCACACTTAGTATCGGTATCGTTAGAGTAAACCTCTCGAACCCATCAATCTAACAAAATTCCAACAATTTCGTGGTAATTATCTTATACTCATGCTGCGAAAACAATTTCAAAACTTGAAAAAGGTAAGGTCATTTGATAATCATTTAGAGATGACTAGGAAAGAATTAGATATGAAGGAAATTCGTCTGTAACATCCCACATCGCTCAGGGGAATGGATCCTGTAAGCTTTATATGTATATTCTCATCTCTACCTAGCACAAGGCTTTTTGGGAGCTCACTGGCTTCAGAGTTCATCGAAACTCTGAAGTTAAACGAGTTTGCGCTAGAGCAATCCCATGATGGATGACCCATTGGGAAGTTCTTGTGTGAGTTCCCAGAAACAAAACCGTGAGGGCGTGGTTGGGGCCCAAAGCGGACAATATCGTGCTACGGTGGAATCGAGCCCGGGATGTGGTGGGGGCCCGGGTCGGGATGTGACACGTCTCTTCTAATCTTACCGTTTTTAGGAGGATTAAAACGGAATTCTTGAAATATGTAGCCACGCAAGCTCCATCAAATTTTATAGAGGTTAACAACAATATAATTAGGTAAGGGGTTGCTTTCAGACTTGAAATAGAGACTCAATTATGTAATATCAAACACAAATTAACAAAAACAAGGATGGAAATTGTAGTGGCATAAATTACAAATTGATGATCCATATTGGTGTCTTACAGAGTTCTAGGCCTTGATTTATTCATTAATTATTTGAGGGATTTTCTAACTTTAATCCTTGAAGAAAATTGAAATTTAAAACAAACCTAGTGTTAGATTACAAATTGATTATAGTCTCTTGATGTGTCCTTAATTCAAAATAATTCATGTATATTTTATTCAATATCTCCCATTAAATATTTAAATTTATTAATACATTTTTGACCAAACCAAAGTTTTTTTTTATTTTTTTATTTTAAATTTATTAATTTTATTTGACATTCTTCAAACTTAATTAATGTGCCTAAATGTTAGTATCGAAATGTATGTACTCAAATGTTAGCACTGAAATGTATTATATTGAATTAATGTATTTAAATGTTAGTACCGAAATGTATGTACCCAAATGTATTATATTAAACTAATGTACCTAAATGTGTGTACCTAAATGTATGCACCGAAATGTATTATAATGAATTTAATGTACCTAAATGAAGAAGACAAAATATATTGTAAAATAAACATTAGTTTATCTAAATGTTTACCGCAAAATATATTACAATGAATTAAATGAAAATTATATAATTATAATGAAATAAAATTAATACATTAAAATTAGGAAGAAAAAGAGAAATAATTAAAACATCAAAAATATAATTAATAAATGAGGTGATTAATGTATCAAGGGATTAAAATTAGATTTTGATCTTACGTATGGTTTTAGTCTAAAAGTCAACTTTGCCAATAATTAAAATGAAGTTTCCTATTTATTTTCCTGAAAATATGACTTTAGCCCCTGAAACTTAATTTTCATTACATAAAACCCAACATAATTTTTTTACTTGATTAAAACTCATTGATTAGGCTCCACACAAACAAATTCATTAACTATGTTTGACTTCACCATTTGTGACATCCCACTTCACTCAGGGGAGTGATCCTCATATGTATATTCCCATCTCTACCTAGCACGAGGCCTTTTGGGAGCTCACTGGCTTCGGGTTCCATGGGAACTCCGAAGTTAAGAGAGTAGCACGCGAGAGCACTCTCAGGATGGGTGACCCATTGGGAAGTTCTCGTGTGAGTTCCCAGAAACAAAACCGTGAGGGCGTGGTCGGGGCCCAAAGCGGACAATATCGTGCTACGGTGGTGGAGCGGTCCCGGGAAATGATCCGCCCCAGGCCAGGATGTGACACCATTGTACATTTTTTGAATGCCTAATATACCCTTAATTACATTTTTGACCTATACAAGTAATTGTATACGGATTAAAAGGTGGATTAGTGATTCTTGAAAAGAGAAATAAGCATTAATATTCATATTGTGATTTGATCACAATATATATATGATATAATTTAACTAATATGTGGGGAATCAATAAATGTGCCTAATAGTTGTGCTAATATATGGAGAATAATTTACCTACTACATAAAGAAATGTTATTTGCCTCAAAGTTATTTTACATATAAATATAGGTAAATTATTTTACACACACATATATAATAATAATATTTTACATATAAATATAGGCAAATTATTTTACACGCACATATAATAATAATAATAATAATAATAATAATAATAATAATAATAATAATAACAACGTGTGCCTTATATATATATATATATATATATATATATATATATATATTAATACATGTAAAATAATTTATCTATAACATATAGAAATGTTATTTTATTCAAAGTTAATTACCTATATTTTACATATAGATATTGGTAAATTACTTTACACATACATACATATGGTAACAATAAAATGTGCCTAACATATGTACTAATACATGCAAATTAATTTAACTACAACATTAATTTACCTATATATGACATATAAATATAGGTAAATTATGTTACAGACCATGATAATAATGTGATGAATATATATATATATATATGTGTGTGTGTGTGTGTGTGTGTGTGTAACATCCCACATCGACTAGGGGAGTGGATCCTGTAAGCCTTATATGTATATTCTCATCTCTACCTAACACGAGACCTTTTGGGAGCTCATTAGCTTTGGGTTCTATCAAAATTCCGAAATTAAGCAAGTTCGCGTGAGAGCAATCACAGGATGGGTGACCTACTAGAAAGTTCTCGTGTGAGTTCCCAGAAACAAAACTGTGAGGGCGTGGTCGGGGCCCAAAGCGGACAATATATATCGTGCTACGGCGGAGTCGAGCCCAGGATGTGGTGGGGACCCGGGCCGAGATGTGACAATATGTGTAATGGTTTATCTACAAAATATAAAAATATTACTTTATTTCAAATACATATAATTATAAGTGGCTAAAAAACGTGAAGAGGAGTAATTAGAATTTAATGCCCATATTATGTGGGCATGATTGAAGCCAAAATTGGAATGTTATGTGTGAGAAAACGTTAGAAGGGTTGTGGCATATGTTGTAAATTATTTGAAGTAATAGGTCATTTAATTTCTAATGTGGCTACATATTTGAATTTTGGGTTTATTTTAGATGTTTAAAGATATGTGAATTTTAATCTAAAAATTACGAGTTGTATAGACTTATATATAAAGAACCCTTTATTTTATTAAGTTCTATAATGGTAACTATAACTAGGCCATGGACCAAGTAACAGGCACAACGCCCAAATCTTTGTTCAGTCCCAAAGCGTCCCACACAGCCGAAGATCCATCAACAATGTTGTTCTGACACGGCGGTTGACCTCCATGCTCCTCATCGCATCCAGCACGCGAATCACATTCGTCAACCACTTTTGCCGTCACACTCTTCCCATTGCTTGCCGTAATTCTTATCATATTAAAACACCTCGACTTATTATTAAACCACCCAGTGGAAAGTGCCACAACCCGCTCGCTGTTGTTATGGTAATTTCCGTCACAATATGACGGGCCACCGCCATCCCCGCCTTGGCTGAAATCGTTGAGAGTAAGGCTGGCTTTTGTGGATGATGTCACAGCTGGAGAGCATGTGTATGTCGGGTATGATTTGCCGTCACAAACTAGAGTTCCTGACGACTTACAGTTGTCAGTCGTAGGAGGTGGTGAAGAGCCGTGTCTGCATTCTGTTGACCCAATATCGGGGTCGTCGTTACACTTGCCGTTGATGCAGATGAGCTGGCCAGCGCAGTCGTCGAGGGTTTTGCATGCGTCATTGCAGGAGGAGATGGCGGTGGACGGGAGAGGGAGGGAGACGACACTAAAGACGATGAGGGTAAGGGGAACCAAAAGCCCTAAATTACTTGCCATTTGGTAATTCTTTTGGAATATAAACGAGTTGGGAGTGAGACAAGAAGGAGATTGTGTGCACTTATATTTATAAGCGAAAAACTTGAAGGCTCATGGGAATGTACTAATATATACTACCTCTTGCAAATAAAAGTATTTTTACAATAATTGAATCCGTTCAATTTTCCAAGTTTCATTTGAAAATATATGCTAATGGTAGAGTCAAGATTTCATGTGAGGAGAAGCTTTTCATAAATTTAAAAGAATGGTAAATAACAATTACAAAACTATTAATCAAAACATCATAATAACATATTCATCAATAATGGTGTATTTGAAAGTGCTCTGAAAATAACTGAAGAAGTTTTTTATGAAGGTGATTTTAGAACTAATTCTTAATTAAAATACAAGTGAATCCTGAAAATGAACATGAAATGCTTCTTGCAAGAAGTACATAACTATTGATTCTCCCAAAATTCACTTACATTGCTTTTGGAACCCATCAACACTTTCACAAAAACACTTTTAGTCATTTTAAAAATACTTCCAAATATGCACAATATTAGTCATTGCATGATAACCTTGTCATCTATGATATTAAATTTAATAGGGAGAATCGCTAAAAAATGCTAAACATTAACACTTAATAATAGGTAAGATAGAGGAAAACAATAAAAAAAAGTTATAGAGAATAAGTCGGATTTTACAAATCTTATTGTTGTTATTAATTTGAATTAGTTGTAGACTTGGAGTCCTACTTAAGGGTTGCAGAGTGAAAGAGAAAAAATCAAAGTAGATGGTTTTTTTTATTTTTTTATTTTTTTATTTATTTTTTATTTTTAAAGTGAAGGTGTGACATCCCACATCGTCTATGGGAGTGATCCTTAAATGTATATTCCCATCCCTACCTAGTACGAGGCCTTTTGGGAGCTCACTGGCTTTGGGTTCCGTAGGAACTCCGAAGTTAAGCGAGAAAGGGGCTAGAGCAATCCCATGATGGGTGACTCACTGGGAAGTTGTTCTTGAGTTCCCAAAAACAAAACCATGAAGGAATGGTAATCCCAAAACGGACAATATCGTGCTACGGTGGGGAAGCGGGCCTGGAAGTGATCCACCCCGGGCTAGGATGTGACATTTGGTATCATCCCACATCGCCCAGGGGAGTGATCCTTATATGTATATTCCCATCCCTACCTAGCACGAGCCCTTTTGGGAGCTCACTGGCTTTGGGTTCCATGGGAACTCCGAAGTTAAGCGAGGAGTGCTCGAGAGCATTTCCAGGATGGATGACCCATCGAGAAGTTCTTATGTGAGTTCCCAGAAACAAAACCGTGATGGCGTAGTCGAAGCCCAAAGCGGACAATATCGTGCTACGGCAGTGGAGTCGGGCCCGGGAAGTGATCCCGCCCGGGCTGGGATGTGACAATTTGGTATCAGAGCCTAACCATGGCCGCGAGTGTGCCGATGAGGACGTCAGGCCCCTAAGGGGGGTGGATTGTGACATCCCACATCGTCCAGGGAAGTGATTCTTATATGTATATTCCCATCCTTACCTAGCACGAGACTTTTTGGGAGCTCACTGGCTTCGGGTTCCATGGGAACTCCGAAGTTAAGCGAGTAATGCGCGAGAGTATTCCTAGGATGAGTGACCCATCGAGAAGTTTTCATGTGAGTTCCCAGAAACAAAACCGTGAGGGCGTAGTCAGAGCTCAAAGCAGACAATATCGTGCTACGGCGGTGGAATCGGGCCCGAGAAGTGGTCCCGCCCGGGCTGGGATGTGACAGAAGGTTTATGTTAAGGGTATTTTATCAAATATTATAAAGATTATTAAGTTTATTCATATAACTATAATAAAATATTAGAGTGAGCGGTGGGATGTAACCAGACCAGGAAGTTGGAAGTTAATCAAAGTAGATGGAGATTTTTTTTTTTTAAATTTAAAAGTGAAGGTTTATGTTAAGGGTATTTTATCAAATATTATAAAGATTATTAAGTTTATTCATATAACTATAATAAAATATTAGAGTGAGCGGTGGGATGTGACCAGACCAGGAAGTTGGAAGTTGGAATTTGGAATAGGAAAGAATAAGTTTGAATTTGTTGCATTGTTGACCAGTAAGTGGAGGATTGTACATATATTAAGTATGATAATAATGGGCATCGGTAGGTAGACTGAATACGTAGGTTAAAATTATAAATTTAAATGATGTGGCATCAATAAAAAATAAGTACGTTAATTAATATTTAAATAATAATTCAATTATCAACTTTGATGTCATTTAGTTTACAAAATTTTAATCTGCAAATTTTGCCTCCCTAATATTACCCGATACTAATAGGAGGGTTGAAAAGAAATGGTAATGCTAGTGAGACTAAATGTGTAGACTAAATTTTGTAAACTAAATAACATGAAAGTTGATGATTATATTAACTTCCATAATATATTCTCAAAATCTATGACATGGAAGTTGATTGGATTATCTTTCACAAAGATAAAACTTACGATTAGAATCTTCCTGTATAGAAGAACCAACAAAACCCATCAATCGAAGGAAACCAGAATCTCCCTATATCGAAGAAATCACAGGCAAGACACTAAGACGCTTGAAGACTCGACGCGCTTTTCGGATTCAACACTCCTGAAGGATGGATGAAAGAGAGAATAGATAACAAAACCCAGAAAGTCGTGGTTGCTTCCGTAGCCACTGCGCCAACCAGCAAGACTAACACCACAAGTCTTCGGGAAGGTGGCATTGTGGATACGTTTTTCTCTCTTGCCCCGTCTCCTACTTACACCATCAAGACCGCTACAGAAAATGGCAGCCACAAATGACCAAATTTATCATATGATGTAAGTAAATTCCAACGTTAGAACTAGGATATGCTTTTCAGCTATGGATCCATTCAGCGTTCACACGAATAAGTAGACCCGAAAGCGAGACGGGCCGGACACGTAAGGCCAATCATGTTTCACGATGCTACGAGTGAACACTGAACAGTCGATCCTTTCCGTAATATGTGTGGTTCAGAGGAGTTTCAAGGATTTTTGAATGGGTAGTGCTAATGAAATTAAATTTAGAGATTAAATTACCAATTTAGGGTTCTTTAGATATAGACCCTTGCAAGTCTTATTTCCTATATAAAAACTCACCTAATTATAAACATCCAAATAAAACCCAAATTTAAAAGTGATTGCCATGTAGGAAAGTAATTGACCTATTAATACAAAATATTTACAACTTGTACCACAATATTCAAAATAAATTAATAAATATTATTGCTCACCTTAATTACACTGAACAAATAATTTATTGCATATTATTACCCCTAACACACACATATATACACATATATACGTTCAAATGTATATAGTATTACCATAAGCTCAATATATATATATATATATATGTATGTATGTATGTATGCATGCACAGTACTACATATATGATCAAACATATTATACTAATTAATCTACCTATATGTAAATTTACGATGAGCAAATAACATATATTTTGTAGTTATTTTATTTTGTATGCATCATCATATATATTGGGCACATTTTATTATTATATGTACAAAATAATGGGTAAAATGGTATTGAATAAAATAATAATTTTTTTATTTTTTATTTTTTTTAATGTAGGTACATTATTTTGCATGTATTTTGCATACATTGGGTTTGCTTTATACGTAGGTAAATTATTTTGCATGTATTTTACATATAGTGGAGAAATTATTTTGCTTTTTTTTTAAGCAATCTAACATTTTAAAATTCGAATAGTAGGTACACTGAATCAAATAACATTTTCTCTAGGTAAATTATTTTGCATGAATTTTTACGTATACCAGCCATGTTTTTTTTTGTTGTTATATATGTGTGTGAAATAATTTACCTACATTTATATGTAAAATATAATTTGTTGACTTAACTAAGCATGTATTATTACATATATTAGGCATGTTTTGTTGTTATTATATATTAGGCAATAAATTTATTGTTTTTTTAATTTTGTAAAACCGTTAATTCTCCCTTACAATCTATATGGAACTAATTGTGTACATCAAACATTCAAATAGGGGTGTTTTGGGCATCGACAATTTTTAAATGTGTAAAGTCAAATATAATTAATGAATTTGCTGATGTGGAATCTAGTCAATGGGTTTTATTTGAGGAAAAAACTTATGACGGGTTTTATGTAGTGAAAATTAAATTTTAAGGGTTAAAGTCATATTTTCTGTTAAATTTATCAACTAAATTATGTGGCATTAATAAGAATGAACATGTTTATCAATACTTAAGTAATAAATCAATCATGAACTTTCACGTCCTTTAGTTTCTAATATTTAATTTATAAATTTTATCTCTCTAACATTACCCTTTTTAAATGACATCATTTTAACGAGAATGGTTGAATAGTCAAGCGGTCAAAATTTTTCTGGTGCTGGTCATTGGGGAAGTTGGGAAGGAAACTCCCCTAATAGGAAATGAATCATTTCCGGATCTCTTCTACCTAATTTTTCTTATCAAACAATACGGGCCCTTGAAATTTAATCTAACGGCTAAAAACACAAGTCTACTCTAAAAGTTATAATAATTTTAGCCGTTCGATCAAATTTCAAAGACCTGGATTGTTTGATGAGGAGGATTAGGTAGAAGGGATCCGGAAATGATCCCTTTCCCCCCCTAAGAGGCCATGGAAGTCTTTAAGCCAACCAATCAAACAACGTCTATCAAGCAACCTTTTACATGGTTAGTTCCCCCGAGCCTTCCAAACTCCCAAATTCCAAGTCAACTGGTGTGTTAAACAGCCAAACTTCCTTAATATGTTATCAACGTTTAAGTAATTAACCAACCATCAAATTCTAAGTCCTTTAATTTTCAAAACTTTGTCTTCAAATTTGCAAACTAAATGATGTGTCACTAATAAGAATAAACATGTTTATCAACGTTTGAGTAATCAACCAATCATCAATTTCCAAGTCGTTTAGTTTTCAAAACTTTGTTTCCAAATTTAGTCTCCCTAGCATTACCCTATTACTCAAGTGTTGATTAACGTGTTTATTTATTTTTTGATGAC